TGCCCTCACTGATTGCTAGAGGAATGTTAATCAGGAGCTTTGTTTTACTATCTGGGGTCTTGCTATTTTGTGTTCTGGTACAGTCTTTAGAAACCACCATACTCAGGGCTCATGCAAGCTTAGAAAAGTGAATTTAAAAAGACTCAGAATTCCCTGAGCTGTACGTCTGGATCATTCTGGGGTGTGCTTGGCTCTTCTCCCTCCCTGGAGAGGGCAGACGTTCACTGTTTCCAAAAGAAGAGGCCCAGGCAGAGGACGAGAGCCCTCAGGGAGGCCGGATCCCCCCGAAGATGTTCCAGGGGTGGGAACAGGGTCCAGGGTCTGCAGTTCTGCTTCCAAGCCGACTGCTGCTCCGCCGGAGTAACTCTTTTCAACAGAAGAGTGTGCTGTTCCCCCGCAGGTTGGAAACTGGGAGAATTTAAATAAAATTTCATCAATCTTATTAAAATATGTGGGGACTTGGGTCTTCTTGGGCACAAGTCAGTCTAGAGATTTAGAGGCATATTAACAGTGAGGCTGGTGAAGGTTTTTAATAATAAAATTACAAATACGCTATCTAATTGTAAGTATATGACTTTTATCCTTGGTTTTTAAGAGGGAAAAATACTCTTTTTTTATGAGGAAAAGTAACTCCGTCAGAGTTGCCTTCTGTGATTAGCGCTATTGTATTCTTAAATTTTGATTGATAGAGATAATAGTTTTCACTTAAAAATACAGACAGGTACTTTAACTTTCCATGACAATAGCTATTTGCATTTCTTTTATCTTTCTGTTTAACATTTGTGGGGGTTGGGATGGATTTGATTATTAACTCTTATTGCACACTGGAGGTAAATCTAAAACAAAGGCTTTGTTAGGGCTTCAAAGGCAAAACAGCAAATATTGTTTGGGATTCATCTCCTAAAGGCTGTGAGAGGATACCTGTACAGTATTCCCATGACCGCGGCCAGGGTTCTAACTGGGTGCAGGCGAGAGCAGAGCCCTTTCCCCAGAGAGGAAGGGGCGTCGCAGTGTTCCCGAGGGGCTGCCAGCTGGAGTGGTGCCAGGTACGCTTGGCCGGGCTCCTGTACCACGTGGCTTACTTGGGGTCTACTGTTCGAGGCCTCAGTCTACTGGAATGGACCCCAAGGTCAGGCCCTGTGAGTTGGTACAGGTCCCAGAGGGCGAGGAACAGGAAGCAAACCATTCCCAGCTGGAGTGGGAGGAAGCTGGGGAAATGGTGGAACCCCCAGGCATGTTTTTTGATGGAGACAAGAAAAGGAAATAGAGGGGCTTGTGTACTGTGGCTGGTTGCGTCCGAGGCCTCTGGCTGGGAGACCTGGGCTGCAGGCCATTGGTCGCTGCTTGACTTCCTGGTCCATCCCTCCTCCTTACCCTGTTTCCTCCATTTCTTTCCTCTCCTCCTCCCCTCTCTCTCCTTCCCTCTTCCCATACGCCTGACTCTCTATTTGAAGTTTCGTGTGCGGGGAAAACACTCCAGAGTCCAGATCTAAGTGGATTTTCTCGTCTCAGGTGTGGCAGATAAAGTCACCCAGGTGCTTTAATTTTTCCACTAGTCGGATATGTGTGGCGTATCCTGCTGTTCTCTAAGAAATCATTGCACAGTAAGCCCAGGATGAGTTAAGACTCGTCCCTGAAGAGACACCCGTCTCTTGGAACTGGGCCCATTGGGACATATTTGTGCACGTGAAGTCTGCGCCCTCTAGTTGGAGGCCTGGGGGTGATGGGAACCTGAGGCCTGCCACACTGCCCGCGCTGCCCGCTTTGAGGACCAGGGTCTCACCCCTGCCGAGACCACTCACTGTGGTTCTCGGCCAGGGTTAGCCAAAGCTGGAGATGAAATCCATTGGCCCCCCTCCAGAGCTGGCCTGCCCGACTCTGGGATGTGACACAGATGCATACCATTTATTTCAAGTGATCCTGATGGGAGAAATACTCTGGCTGCTAGTGCTCAGGGGGCGAGCTACCTCTGCTCAGACCTGAGACCGGGTTCCAGGCAGGGCCTATGCTGAATGGTGCTGATCCAGGGAGGGCACATGTGCCCTCCCCGGAGGCTGACACAGACACCTTAGAGTAGTAAGGGCGCTGCAGGGGAGGCCTCTTGATGTAGAGGATTGCGCTTGGGGCAGTGTTACGGTTCTGACCCCAGGTGGCAGCCACTATGTGGTCACCAGGTACCCTCAGATAAACGGTGCTATTGCAATTCATAGTGCTGAGACCCTGGAGCAGGTCTAGGCCTCTACAGCATCTCCACGGTTACAGAGAGTGACATAGAGGAAAATCAGCAATTTCTGTTTACCATATCCTGCTCACTTGTATACCTCAAGCTAGCAGGAAACTGGAAAATAGAAAAAATATGCAATTTGTATGGTGATAGCATTGTTTTAAAAGGCAAGTGGGCTGGAGGGGAATCTATTTCTTTTAATCTTTTTTTTTTTTTTTTTAAACTTAAAGGTTTACATGGTCGTTTTAATTTTAGTCCTGGTACTGGTACTGCCAGGAAACATACAGGTAAATAGTTGGTTTATTTGATCAAAGTGAATGAAAAATGGCAAATACAGTTTTAGAAACGGAAGTTTATATGCTTTGGAAAAAAAAAAAAAAAAGCCCCAAATGCAGATTTTTCTTCTAGTTGTTGATTTCCTATTCCTCTGAGCTTGTAAGGATGCCAACTCAGACCTCAGTACTTCCCCCTAATTTTCTTGTCTAGATATATTGACATATTTCATTTAATTTAGCATGATGGCAAACAGCTGTTGAACTATTAATCCCAGCAAAGCTAGAAAAATATTTTTTAGATTCCTTTGCTAATGGATACTTTCTCTAAAAATGCAACAGAAATACACTAATGGATGGCCAAATATGCTTATGCATTAACATTGATGGAGTATAGTTTATACCTCACTGCCAATTTCTTATGTAGAGGTGAAAATTAAACGTGGCCAGTTTTGTGTTGCTTTCATGCATACACGTCAGAGGGCCAGTTGTATAATTTTCTTGTTATTCCTCTCCTGTTTGTTTTGACTCTCTGAGGATAACATTACACTTATAAAACCTGAGGTGAGCCTGCTTTGGTTTTCTGTCTGTGCTCGCCAGCTCCTGTGCCTGGGCAGGTGGGTGGGTGGAAGGAACAGGCCTGGCATCACCTGGAAACGTTCGCACACTGCACAGAGATAACTTTATTCCAAGGAAGCATTTTCAGCAATTTAAAACAAAAATTAAATTTTAATGAGGTCCAGTTGTTTGCCAGGCCCTCTACGATAGCAAATCTCATCTGCATTGCAAAATCCCAATGCGATAGGTCCCGCTGCCAAACACGCAGGAAGAGGCACAGCTCCACAGATGAACCTACAGATGAGTTCAGCGTGTGCATTGGAGAGCACCTCAAGGAAAACGCGGGGACAGGGCTGGCTTGCTGGGAACCCAGAGCTGCCTGCCAGAGCCACTGGCTTTCCCTGGGAGTCAGTTGTGCTGAGTGGCGGGTACCCTGGTGCCTAGAGAGGACAGTGCCACTTGCCTCTTGAGGGGGACTCTGATCCGGTGGTGGGGCGCAGCCATGCCTCTGGCGTACCTTGAGGTCCCAAAGCCTGCCCTACAGCACTTCCCTGTCCTGGAGACACCCATCCTATGGACGTAGATCAGCAGTAAAGTGCACAAATTTCATATTCAATCTGAATTGTTTTGTGTAAAAACAAAAGAAAAAAAAAAAGGCTTGGGACAGGTTGTTGCAAAAGAGTAATTTCAAGTCCCTGAACTAGGGTTTTCCCCCACCCAAATTGTGAACATCTATGGTGAAAACCTGCAATTTCCTCTTACAATAAACACGAGAATGATGATTTCACCCAGAGCCTGCATCTTTTTTTCCGATCTTAATGGCAAGAATCTGCATACACTTGCCTGGGGAAATGTCATAAATTGGCCTCAGATCAATTCCTCAAAGATGGCACACACCAAAGTGCCACTTTAAAAATTTTCAGCCCTGGTGAAAGAAGCTTTTTCCTCCTCTCAGCGATGCTGCCTTTCACACTGGGGCTGACGGCAGAGGGCTGGGAGGGATAGATGCGAATAAAACCGAAACCACTTCATTACGTACTGTTCTGAAGAGTGAGCGCAGGGACATGAGCGTGCTAATCACATTAAGGACTGATTTCTCTGTCTTAAAAATCATAGGAGCATTTGGTCCTCAGCGGCGGAGTGAATCCTGTACCCTGTTATTAACTTGATCTGAATGAATAAACAAATGTTTTGCTTTCCCCTTGTGCCGTGTGTGTGTTGGTCCCAGTTTCACGGGCAGAAAGAGGCCGAGTCTGCTGCTGAAAGGATCACCCACTGTTCTGTGGATGGAGCAGGCAGATGCCGGGGCGGGGCGGGGTAGGATATGTGTTTTTGGAGGCCCGATGGAAGTGGCATATTTCATGTGCCACGAACCATTTTCATTTAGCCTGGGAGATCTGGTAGATGCAGTGCAGAACATTCTCTGAACAGCTTTCACCACCATGAACTCCCCCCAGCCCTCCCCACGCCAAGGACCGTGGGGCTCTTATTCACCTTGAAAGGTCCAAAGTGGTCTAAGGCATCTTGTCCACAAGAATGAGTTCTTGCCTGAAGAGGGGAATGAAATAAAAAACAAAAAAACAAGTCTCTCCTTTAATGAAATTAGAGATGTTGTGATGTTAACCAAACAGAGCCCTGTTCAAGAGCGGCCTGGTTTCCAAAAACAAGGACCTATGAGTCACGTATTATTCCACACAAAAATAAACTGATAGATGACAAAAGGAGGAAAAGTTCACAGGCAAATCTGAAGTGTCTCGCCTGGGCTTTTCCCACCCACACAGACGCGGTGGTCTCGAAGCGCTTGAGGCCCGCGGTCCAGGTAGACTCGGAATCCCGGGCCTCGCTGCTGAACCCCTTCCAAGTTACTTGCCTCTCGCGCGTGTGTCCTGTGCTCCGCTGGTGACCACTTCCCCGACATTCAGATCTTGATGTTCTCTTGTTTTCAGGGTGACAAGTGACCTTTTGAGGTGACTGTAACTGAAGATTGCTTTACAGACGCCAAAAAAGGTAAATGCAAATGCGACGAGTGGAATTCACAGAACAGTTCCTGTCGCCTTCCAGGTTGTTTCCCGATCTTTATTTGTCGAAGATGCATGTGTTGATTTGTGTAATTATGTATGCAGCATGTTTTTGGGTTTTTTATTTTTTTGTGTGAAATCGTAGAACCTTAAAAAAAAATGGTCCACAGATTCATATTCCTTCCCCCAAACATGATCCAGTGTTCCAGTGGGTGGAGGCTGAACTTGACTCCCTTTCCCCGTAGACATGGTGGGTTTCCAGTTGGGAAGGAACATGCATGTCACGCGGTGCACAACTCCAGCTCACTGCAGGCCAGAGTGGCACATGTCAATGTCCGTGCTGACGTCCTGTCATCCAGTAGATGCCCATCTCGCTGCTCCCTAATCACCTTCTTTCAGAAATTAAGAGTCAGGCACCCTAGCAACAGGCATCGCCAAGCCATGGGTGGGGGGCAGCAGTGCCTGGAAGGTGGGTGCTAGGCTGCCCTGTTCACTTGAAAATCAAACGAGAACCTGATTTCAGAATTAGAAGTTTTCAGAGAGGCTAATGTCACTTGATGAATTAAAGCCACATTTAATTCTCTCAAATTCACTTTTTTGAGAGGGTAGATTAAAAAAAAAGTACTCAGGTTAAAATGGTCACGGCTGCTACCTGGTCTCTGGTTTTAGAGTGTCCCTCGGCTAGGGGCAGTGAGCACTTTTCGTGGGATTTTGCAGGCTGTTGAGGGTCTGCTGTTTTTCAAGTATCTGCATCTTCCTTTCAGTTTTGAATGTTGCCCTTTCCTAAGTTCCATTTGGTTTCATAGGTCTGTGTCTGCTTAAAAACAGGTTATTTGCTGGCATGGTTGGATCAAACCTTTGCTCAGGTTTTACTAAACGAAATATATGTATTTGTAAGATGCAGACTTCTTACTCTTTAGTTGAACATGGTTTTAATCATAGAATTTTCATAATGGGAAAATTGTCCCATCCATTATGTTTTTAATCTCTGCCAGGGATTTTGGCTCTAGAATAAAGGGTGCGAATTCGTTTTCCTTGGTACTAGGGATTGAACTCGGGGCATTACTCTACGATTAAGCTATTTCCCCAGTCCTTTTTAGTTTTTAATTTTGAGGCAGGTTCTCATTGAGTTGCTGAACTCGGCTTTGAACTTGAGATCCTCCTGCCTCTGCCTCCACATTGCTGGGGATACAGGTGTGCACTACACCTGCTCATTTGTTTTTATAGTTGAATTCTTACTTATTGGACCACAAAAAAATGTAGAATTGGTGCATTTTGCTCTGTGGTTAATCAAAACTTCGCAAGAAGTACCAGTCGCCCTGCATTGAGGACAAATGTCTGCTTCAGGAAGATGTTGCACAGTAGAAGGAATTGATCTCAGGTGTTCTTTGAGCACATCAAGCTGCACAAGATTGTTGGCAAAGCCCTTCCCTTGGCTGGGACACTGGATTCCAGTAGTCTTATTAGGAAGCTGCAAACTTTTTCTGCCAAGGACCAGCTAGTAAATATTTTCTGCTCTGGGGGCCATTTGGACTGTGCCCCGCCTGCCCTTCTGGCTCTGCTTTGCTGTCTCTGGTTGCCATGATCTCTCAGAGAGATTCAATCCAAGATGCTCCCCGTGCAACCCTGCCAGGTGCCTAACTCATCTTGTGCCTTTGGCCAGAGTTACAGGTGACACTAAACACTGTGGTTAAACAAAGTTGGAAATGTCACTGTAAGATGGAGTTGAGCTTCAGAGCTACTGTATCCACACAGCTCCAACCAGAGCTTCCCCAGCCCGTCTCGATCATCCCCCAGTAGCCTGAGTACTGTTCTTCTGACTTGGCGTCTTTACCATGGCCACACTTAACCCATCACCTGAAAATGAAGATGTGAGCCGCCCACCCCCCACCCCGAATCGACAGTGTTGTTCAGACTTAAAAAAATATATATATATATATCATGGCTCAAGGGAAAATTTAACAGTAAAAACCTTCTAGGAATTTGTCATTAGCCTTGACTGAGAGAGAAACTGCATGTTTAAAAACACGTGCTCTCCTTAATTACCACTGAGAGCCCGGTCTGTTACAGCATGGAGCATCCTGCAAATGAGGACCCCCCCTTGTCAAACTTCTGGATCCTGAAAAATCCCTCCTTTCCTGACACGTCTTTTCAGGATGCAGGAAAGCCGAGCACCGAGTCCACATGGTCTTTCTCTTTGACCTGCCCTCTGGGGACCTGAGCCTCTCTCTGTATGTGCACCAGCGTCTGCTTTGATTATTGTGTTTGTTTTTATCCTTTACACGTGATCTTCGTTTTTCCTATTCACAATCAGTATGTTCTATTCCTTTTATTTCCTTTTACAGTCTCCATCTCATCTCTATTTTGACCCAAATTTCAATTGTTTTCTTTGTGTGTGTGTGTGTGTGTGTGTGTGTGTTGCTAGGGATTGTGCATGGGAGGCAAGCACTCTACCCACTGAGCCGTACCCCCAGCCACTTTTGTTTTCTTCCTTCCTTCCTTCCTTTCTGTTAGGGTTTGTAGATTGAGCCTAAAGTTTCATGTAAATTTTACCTTTAAGCTCAAGGACCTTTCAGAGACAAATTCTTATTTCCCTTGATCTCTTACATATAGTAAGAGAAAAACATTTTGCTAGAAATAGAACATTGAAAATACATTTAAAATGAGGATCAGGGTAACATTTCTGATGAGGCAGCCTTGAGCGAACAGCAGATCTTACTCATCAGCAAAGGATGAGACCAGGAGCACCCATCGTGACACCCCAGGTGGTGTGGATTTCAGGTGTAGGAGGTTCTCAGCACCTCCCATGCCCCAGTCTGTGTGAATGCAGATAAACATGCCCCCAGAGGCAGAATGGGGACAACTACTGGTCATGTGCATGACAGTGGCCAGGCAAACTCAGAAAAGCAGACAGAGGCATTTTTAAAACCGAGATTCAGAGTTTTGACTGATTGTGAATCACAGCCATCGTGGTTGGTAGGGAGAGGAGAGTTTTCTAGCAGGCAGCTCTGAGTGCTGTGTGGAACGGTTCCGGAGGCTGGCATTCCTGAGAAGGCAGATGTCAATTAGTATAATCCCTACTTTACAAACTGGGAAAGTGGCCCATAGACAAAAAGTAACCTGCCCAAGGTCATCTGGAATATCAAGATAGAAACTGGGAGAACTTGCTGGGAGAGTGATGAGTGGACGTCTCTGTGGCATGGCTACTGCCCTGACCTGTTCATTTATCAAAGGTGTATGTGGCTTTTGTGACCCTGCCTCTCCCATCATTGACAGTTCACCCACATGTGACGCTTGGCTGAAAATTCCAACAAACCTGATTTGCAAAATTTATCATTTCCTATTCAACCCTTAATGGTGTGGAGAGTTGAAGACTGTGATCAAGCCCGTGTGGTTACAGTTACATCATCAAGCTTTACATCATACATATTGGTTCATTTTTTAAGTCGTCAGCTTATTTGGAAGAAAGTTACAGAAATCGAAAATCATGTTTAATCTTGTCAATTTCTCTTGCCACCGCAACTTAAGCTGTCTGGGGATAGATCCTGTACCCTTTAGAGTGTCTTATAAATAATTTCTTGGTTAAAATTGTAAATGTTCCTCAGCTGTTTAAAATGTAAATGATTGGTTCCTTTGAAAGTTTAGTTTTGTGTGATTTAAGTGTTTACTTAATGAGAGTAACAGTTTCAGCCAGACATAGTGGCAACCACGTATCTTCCCAGTGATGCCGAAGGCTGAGGCAGGAGGATCTCAAGTTCGAGGCCAGCCTGTGCAACTTGAGCAAGGCCTAAGCAATTTATTGAGACCTTGTCTCAAAAGTTTAAAAATTTTGAAAAGTGGTAGTGGATAGCTCAGTAGTAAAGTGCCCCTGGATTCTGTCCCCACTACTACTAAAAAAAAAGGAAAAAAAATAATTGTGTCCTAACCACTCAAAATGACCAAAATGTGTAGCATTTGCATTCTGTGACTATTGATTCATGAAGTTGTCATAAAGACTCTGTAGGAAAGTCTCCTTGAGTGTTTAGATGACGACGTCATGACCAGTCCTCCAGCAGTTAAGCATTGAAATGCTCTCTGGCCCCCAAATACACAACATCCCCACGCCCAGCTTATAACAGGATAGAGACAAGACTGAGAGGGAGACCCACAGGCTATGGCTTAAATAGAGCCAAAGTTCGCTTCCCTCCGGCAGCCTGGCTGATGGTATGTGGGGCCGCTCCGCGCAGAGATCCTAACAGGCAGCTTTCTTTGAAGCAAGAGACTTGATGGTCATACACATCGCGCCTCTTGATGTCTGAATGGTGAGGTTGGGGTGATGTGGCTTTGATGAGCTTGAGGGGCTGCTTGGTGCCCAGGGGCTTGGACAAATTGGAGAGCAGATCCAGGAGCAAGGCTGGGACATGGCTTCTGGATTGTGCAGGGTCGGTCCTGGGGCTTTACTCACCCATTTGCAGCCACCTGCGTGCCATGCTAGTTCTTATCCCAGTGGCTCCTTGGTGGTTCCCTGATGGGTGCCCGGGTCCCAGCTGCATGGCAGGCGCTGTCTCTGGCCTCTGTTTCTCTTCCAGACAGGAAGACGAAGCGTGGAGTGTTAGGATGGGTCTGTTGGTTGCCATGGGAGAGGGTGGGCTCAGGGAGGGGATACAGGGCTGTCAGGGACCAGGACGTGCTGAAGGACATGGGTCCTTCAGCATCTGGAGTGAGTCAGTCACCTGATTTTTCCCCAGACTTCTTACCAGATCTTGCAAATGTCATCAGGCATGCTAATTTTTGGTAAGAGCTTTATGGAGATTATAATCCAGATAATATAGTTCACCCAACTAGAGTACACGTATTGTCCAGTGGTTTTTAGTTTGTTTACAGAGTTTGCAACCATGTTCCTGGGTTTAGACCAATTTTCTCACCAGGACAGACAGCCTGGTGTCAATTAGCAGTCACTCATCACCCTTTCCACCTTAGCAAGAAGAAATCTGCTTCCTGTCCATGTGC